TGTGTGTGTCCACCCCTGGACAAAGGGTTTTCCACCGCCACTCTTTTCACCGTTTTTCCACCACTTTCCACACGCAGGGGCACACGGCATCCATGACCTACCGTGTGCAACGAAGCTGCGGTCATGGATGGGAAGGGAAGGCTGATCACCTTCCTGTACCTGCTCCCAACACACTGACTCCAATGGTCCACCCTGCCGCTGTTCGTTGGTTCAATGGTTCTTGATGCTACCACCCCCAAACCCACCGCAGCCTTACAGCCGACTTGCAGCCGCGCTGAGTGTCCGATCGTCTTTTCGAGTGCCACTGCAAACAAGGTTAAACCATACTGTTTTCACTGACCTTTGCGCCCTGCGGTTCTTCGCCTTTCTTCCCATCGGGAAATTGAGTTAACTGAATACAAGTGTCAGAGTGTGCGTCTTCTGCTTTCTTTATCTCAAAATCTCATGCCTTCTCCTTTGCCTCATGTGAGACACATCCTTGGCTTGGCACCCCAGAAGAACTGCTCAACACCACTCACTTCGCCCAAACTCGGCCTGACCGTCCCACCGCACTCGGCCGCCGATGCTCCGCCGCCGCACTCGGGACTCGAGGCGACCAGTCTCGCCCAACAGTGGCGCTCGGCCATCGAGGGCCGGAGGGGCGCGGATCGGGTCACGTTCAACGTGGCCCTGGGGAGCCTGGCGGGGCCGAGCGGTTGGAGAACTGCGGTGCAGATGTGGAAGGACATGAAGAAACAAGAGGCTGGATCACTGGATGATGGTTGGATGATATTGGATGGATGGGTTTTACCTGACTGTGCTGGGAATTTGGGGCTGCTTTTGAGGTTGCGGGGGGCGGTGTATGTTTCCTGGTTGTGGTTTAGCTGTGTGCCTTTGAAGAAACGGTTCATCGAGTGGAGTTTGAGTTGGTCAAGGATTTGCTTACTGATTTGACTAATCAAGGCAGCGCTGAGGGAAATCCCTAAGAGGGATTTGCAACGGATTTGCAACCAGTTTCCGTTCACCACTTGGTTTGTTGGAGTGCGTTCCTAGCCCCGTTCGATGAGGTCAGATCCGATCTCATCAGCCACAACACGGTCACTTGGAGCCGATGGACACATTGGGGTGGTGGGTCTGTGCATGTGTATATTGCCTGCAGAAAAACACAAAATGGAACCAACAAAAACAAAGCCACCGGCTTGGTCTTCGGACAAAAAAAGGGATCGAAACCCACGAGCATCACGAGGAGCGTTGGTTCCAGGTCCATGTGCTTCATTTGGTGTGGGCGAAGTTCTTTGGATACCCCCTTTCTCTAGAATGCATGGCCGGCCCATGTGTCAATGATGCAATCCCCAGTGAAGGGGTCGGACTACATTCAGTATGTTGGGTGCCGTGTGACAGGATGTTGTTCTGAAGGGCATGAGAACAACATGTTATGTCTGGGAAGGCAACTTGTTGTTTCTGATGTTGACCACGCCTCATCCAGGGCCGCAAGCGTTGCAATAATATGCGGAAGCCCTTCTATTGGGTGATGTCAAGCGATGTGTCTAGTGTGGGGATTGTCGTGGCAGTTGAACGCTGGATGGTACTGTATTTGTATGTATGTGTTCATCCAGGAGCCCCTGCATGCACATAAAAGACAAGCGTAGGGCATAGGGGCATAGGAGTGCTGATGCCAAAGGCATTCTGTGTGTCCCATTCCCGTGTTTCAACACATTGGCTAGCAAGCAGTTCCATGGTTAGACCCCCATGTTAAGGTGTCCAAGTCCCCATGTTAAGATGTCCAAGCTCAATGCTCACCTGAGACCATTCCATTTTTTGGCTAGAAGAAGATAGAAGAAGCCTATGAAAGGTCTATGAAGAAAAAAACACCTCACCAGAAGAAGATAGACCATTGGTCTTTTCATGCTCACCTGAAGCCTGTGAAAGGTTTTGAAAGTCACATTGGCAAATGCCCATGCCATGTCATGAAGAAAGAAACACCTCATGAAACGGCAGTCAATTTGACAGCAAGAAAAACATACAGGAATCCATTAGCCACGTTCAGTGCTCAAACTCTTCCCAGGTCATCCAGGTGTGTCACAGCCGTGCCTGGCGCTTGTCACTGGGGATCTTCAGCGCCCTGGGCCTTGAGCGTTTGCAACCCGATGCTGTAAGCCACGGGCTGTTGTTGGCCCACCAGGACAGTTTTTTTTTTGGTTGGGAGCTGCACCACCCAGACAACCACCATGCTAGGACCGTTCTTGATCTTTACTCGACTGTTGCGTTTTGGGAGTTGGGGCATTGCATCAATAAGGTTTTTTCCGAGAAACACTTCTTACGTTGTGAGTGGAGGAGAGGAAAACATGAGCCTTCTTGGGTCCTCTTGCATTGGTTCCTTCTAGGCAGTGAAAAACATCGCTGTTTCTTCTGCGCTGAACTGCCGCCGAGCCGCTTGAACAGGAGCCATGGCAGCACGCTTGGACACTCCTCCTCAAGGCTCCAGTCGATGACCTCGACGGTGCTGCTTGCACTGCCGCCTGCAATGCCTGCGATGGGTGGCGAGCCGTTGTGGGTGCGGGGCCCACGGATGGGATGGGGAGAGTTATGGCATGTTATTGCACAGATTTGGAAAGTATATGGACAGTATTTATATAATTGACCCTAGGGCTCTAAGTGCCTCCTCAGAAGGTATTTGGACCCTCCAAACCCACTCCAACTTCTTAGAAGGTGCGACAGGAGCACTAGGGCTTGTGACTTCCCCCTGAAAGGACGGAGACCTTCTTTTCAGTGCGTGACGCTCTCCCCGCCTCCGCCCTCTCCAGGTCTCCTCGACCACTTCGCCCAGCAGAGGATGTGTCGCAGCCGGCAGGGCCTCAGCTCCGCGGTGCAGCGCTGCGGCGCCGCGGGCGCCTGGCCGAGCGCGCTGGCGCTGGAGATGGCAGGCCGCGCCGGGCACGGAGCACGGCGTTCCCAGGAGTGAATGAACTGTTCAAGCTGGAGGATGATGATGAGCCCCAATCTTCCATGCAACACGGAACCACCAAAAAGTGCTTTTGACTTTCCACTCCAACTGATCAACACAGGCCTTACTTTTGGATACTTTTGGGCTGAAACCATGGAGCAGCTTGCGATAGCTTGTGCTGCTCACTCCTTTTGCACACCATTTCCTACCCAAGTAGTCGCTGCCATGTGGCTTCAACTTCCGGATGTCTAAGGCGTTGCCGCTCGTCCCTCTCACCCCCCCCGCCCGGCCGTCGCTTTTGGCGCCTCCAGGCCGAGGCCGTCGGCTGTGCAGCGATGCCACGGCCTTGAATGTGTTGATCACAGCGCTGGGCCGCGCGGATAAGTGGCAGGAGCTGCGTGGCCTGCGCGGGTCCATTCCGAAGTGGTCGGCTGTCGGTCGTTCTTGCCTTCAGTGAGTTCATAGATGGGAGACAGACAGAGAGAGAGAGAGAGAGAGAGACAGAATATGTCTGCAGTAATGTTGTTTTTTGGTTTAAATGATGTTAGTAACCACATAGGATAGAGATGCAGACAATTTATTGGTGTATGTAACTTTTATGTGATGGGAATTGTGCTTCGGGCTGCAGTATGGGGTCATCACGTTGTGGTAAAATTTCAGGTCTCTACCTAGGCAGACCATGCAAGATGGATACAGATTGGCCCAGTTGTCCGCAGGAGGCCTTGCAGGTCTTCCTCTCGTTCCGGGATGAAGCGGACCTTATCGCTTGCAATGCTCTGATGGCCATCTTCGACCGAGTTGAGCAATGGCAGCTGGCAGAGGAACTCTTCGTAGAACTGAATGATGCCCAGCCGCGCGGCAATCGATCCAGAATCCAGAGTTTAAGTGGCCTTTATCTGGGGATCAGTGTAGACGGATGTAGACGGTATTCACATTTCACATCCTGGACAGTCCAAAGAGTAGACTCTGGCCGACGGAAGTCCAGCTGTGAGACAGCTAGCTAGACGTTGCTGAGAGAGGAGAGAGAGAGAGAGAGAGAGTAGAGCTTTGCTAACTGCATTTGGCCCAAATAGGTGGCGACAGCCGAGTCAAGAGGCCATAATATCCATTGATGCTGGGGCCACTAGGTCCCTAGATGTGGGCTCCCCTTTTTTTTTAACCCCCCAACCTCTTTTTTTTAAACCTACCCCCCTAGATGTCCCTAGGTACAGTACAGTTGGCCAGCCATTGCCGGGCTCGGCTTCTTTGCTACCCTCCGGCTCACTCACATGATCTACATGATCTCACATGGAAGTGGAAAAACCACGGTCCTTCCAAGGGGCCATTTTCCACTTTCACGTGATTGTGTTTGTGGCTTTCAGGATGCAGCCCAGCTGTTCCTCCTACCTCACGATCATCAGTGCCTACACCTCCCACTGCTCGCAGTGGCAAAGGGCACTTGCTGTGCTGGAGCAGTTTCGGAGCGGAATGCCCTTGGAGGCACTTGTGGAACTGTAAGCAAGAATCCATCGGGGTCCGCTACTGTTTGACACCAAAAGGGATCCTGCATCGACCTCGAGCTTCTACCCACAATAGCAACCACCAAAGTCTTTGCGTCAAAAAATGGGCCACATAGACCCGCTTTTGCAGAGTACGCATTCACTCTCCAGGGCACTTCTTGCAGTTTGCAAAGGCAAAAGTTGAAATCCGAGACTCTGAGAAGCACCACTTTCATTGAAACTGCTGTAGGCTGTTGCTGCTGCTGCTGCTGCTGCGAACTTCACACCCCGGAAGCCACTCACACCCGCCTTCTTGAGGTCTCCGTGCACAACGCAGCGATGACTTGTTGCAGCAAGAGCTCTCAGTGGACTTTGGCATTGCACCTCTTCAGCGAGCTTCGAGCTGCAGGTGCGGCGCCCGGATCGACCGACCAAGCGACGGCGGAGCGACGGCAGAGCGACCGCGTGAAACCAGAACAAGACATGATGCGAAAGAACTTGGCTGATGAAATCAGCTGGTGAATTCAATCAGATGACTTATATACTGATAGGTGACTTCTGAAATGGGAGGAGGGTCTTACAGCATCTCGCCTCGTGGTGTGGACCTCCAGGCCTCCAGGCTGACCTCATCAGCGCTTCTGCCTGCGTCTCAGCTGCTGCTGCCTCGTCCAAGTGGTGGTGGCCGGGCTCAGTTCGAATCAAACAAACAGGATGTATTTTGCTGGCTTAGGTTCGCTCACATAATTGTTTCAGTCCCCATATATTTTGTACAGAGCCTTTAACCGCAAGCCTTTGTGACCTGAAGTGTTTGTATCCAAATGTATAACCTTTCATGGAGCACATCAAAGATAGGATTAGGATTATCTACTCCAAAAGAACTGGATACAGATGAGTCAAACTTCAGCCCGATCGGGCTGAGGGCTGAATAGGGTCGAGGTTTGGGGCCTTTTGAGGCGCAGGACCTTTTTGAGTTGAGGTACTCTTTGAGTTGCCTGGCCGCACTTGAATCGAAGTCTTTGAGTACAACGGTCCACGCCTGCAGCTCTGCTTGCAGCTCTTGCAAGAGCTGGGAACATGCCCTGACGCTTAGCTGTGCTATGGGCCACTTGATGTTGGCATCATATTTGATCAAGTCAGAGAGTCAGAGGGTTGTTCAAAACTAAAACCAATCAGCTTAGTTTCTCCATAAATCATATTAAATCCCTCTAACCAACCAGTGTCCCTGGATGACCATGGGCAAATCGTCCATATGACTATACTAACATGACTGTCTTTGTCAGCAGTTCGGAGATGGCTTTGAAGCTTGCAAAGGGCCTCAGGATTTTTCTGCTTCCATGGCCTAAGATGAACATGGCCTAAGGCCTAGTGGGATCTAATGGGTACCCTCTCCATGCTTTCCACGGGGCGCCACCAGCTGGTCGCCGATCCCAGGATGCTCCTTCAGACCCTCCGGCGTGGCGCCAATGTGAGACTTGGCAGTGAGGGGACTGTGCGGGGGACCGGAGAGAAGGATCATGTAAATGCACCTGGATCTTCAAGGGATGTCCAGGCTGGAGGTCCCTTAGTAGTGGGCTGGGGCTTCCAGCCATTGAATGCCATCCAATGAAGACTCATGATGTACCTGACCCATGATGCACAGAAACTCGCACTGGCGGAGCATGGAAGGGAGGCACGTCACGTCCACCTCTGATGTGTACAAGAATGCTGAAGTTCAATGAATGAGTCGAAGGATCTAAGGTTACACGGAGGAAGTTACAAACGGGCGAACCGAGCTTTTCAGACTTTTCACGTGATGACAGGTGCCAACGACGGAGAGAACAGAGATGGTCTAATATTCCAAAAAAACCCATGGAGTTGCAACCTCTGGAGCCGAAAAGGAGAGCCTTGACATGAATAAAACAAGACATGGATTCAACCTGTTTGATCCTTTTTGTGTCTTTGCCATGCTATCAAAGGGTGTGGGAACCATCTCTGCCTACATGGATTGAACCATCGTCCTTTAAAATCAATCAAGAGCCTACCACCTCCGGTCTTCAGCTTCGAACCACCGTATCCACGACCCCGGTCCACCACTGCCCACCGTCGCGGGCCCCGTCGATTCGGCCGAACCCGAGGATTGCTTACAACGCTGTGATGGGCTGTGAAAGCTCAGAGCACGCATGGCCACAGGCGGGTTCGACTGACGACTCCACGGCGGGTAGGGTTGTGGGTTGTGGCAGAGGACAACTAGTTGAACGAGCAGGGTAAGTAGGAACGTATCCCCCGAAAAAAGAAAGGAGCTCCGCTGCATTGATGCAGGAGATTGTTGGCCAGGGGTGGAACTTTTGGATGCGTGTTCTCCCCTCGGTTCCGCGCAGACCACTGAATCCGGTGGACAGGTTCTCCTTCGCTGGGCCCAGGCACTATTCCTTTATGCATCCCTTCACCACCAGCGCCTTACCGCCGATGCGACCAGCTACAACACGTTGACGAGTACTTGCAGCAGCTTGAGTTGAACCGCTTTCATGGATAGTCCGGGCCACTGCGGGTCGGTCCGGGCGGTCCGGGCCGGTCCACTACGGTCCTTCCATTCTGTATAGGCCCTTTGTGGAATCCACCAAACCACACATCAAATCCGTTGCCGGGTACACCACCGCGCCGGCGTGGCGTAAGGAGACCACCTGACGCAGTGGGCAAAGGAAGAATCTATGCATCAAGATGTGCCCACAAACACGTCATAGAGGATGGATCGGCAGGTTTTTTTTTAGTCTGTGCGAATATATAAACCCTTTTCTAACATTGTCAGTCTACGGAGCTGTACTTGGGGTTTAGTTTTGATTAAGCCCTTTTTGGTGGAGTAAGGGCCGATCCCTCCTCTAACATGTTTGTGGATACATCTTGATGCATAGATTCTTCCTTTGCCCACTGCGTCAGCTGGCCTCCTGACGGCTGTGCCGGGGAAGGGAGTTCGCACGGGCCGGGCCTCGGGCCGGGCCGGGGTCAACGGTAGACCCGGCTATCCATGTTACGAAAGCCAGCCTTCGTAGAAGGCGCTAGCGGAGTTGTGTCTGGCGAACGAAGTGAGTAGTTAGGGGGTCTGGGGGGGTGGCCCGAGAAAGGTATACGTCAACTCGGCACATGCTGGGGGAGGAGGGTGCTTCGAGGGAAGGTTTTTTGAGGTTGTGTTGGAGGTGATTTTTGAGGGGTGGTGATGCAAGAAATGCCAAATGCATCATTTGCATCATCTGAATGGAAAGGTGTAGTTGGCACCTTGCAAGGTATAGAGACCTAGGGTAGCTATAGTGCAGCTACCAGGTATAGTACTTCAAGTTCCCTTTCCGTCAACCGCTTGAGAACCTCTACACACGCACAGCAATCCACAGCTTTGAAGTCTCATTCGTGCCTTGAACTTGTATAGGTGTGTAAGAGGTATAGCAACATACTATTTATACGGACCCAGGGTAGCTACAAGTAGCTACAGTTCTGTTCCGGGTATGGCGCGCATGAGGCTTCAAAGCTGTGGTTTTCAAGCAAAATTCAAGGTGGCCTGAGACCAGGGTTTGCTGCCCTAAAACACTCTGTTCAGGCCACCTTGAAAATAAAG